CGAAAGTATAAACGTGAATGTTAGCCGGGTGGTGGTGGCGTACACCTTAAATAAATCCAGCACTGGAGGCGAGGGTTGGTGAATCGCACCAATGTGACGCTCCCTTACCGAGGTGTGCCATACCCTGGCTCACCAGGAGAGAAGGATTTACAGGAAGTGGTCAATCGCCACCTGTTTCCATCTGTACGGGATAGTGTTGCCCCCTTGCGCATGTGGATTTTCTCCTAGGTGCTTCGGGTTTCTCTCACTTGCATAAACAAAACATTCATTGGCTCAAACCATCTGAAAAGAAAAAACCAATACAGGACCCTCCTAAAAAAAAGAGTCCCACTGCTCGCCTGGATGACTAAATACATTAAATTAAAGGTTGCATGTGGTGGGGTGAAGTGTTGGGATTACCAACTCTCTAAATATTTCCCTGGACAGCATGTAGGAGTAGGTTAAAATACCCTTTAGTGAAGGGCATTCTGGCAGCAGCGAGTTGGGGGCGGTGAGAAAGCAATTGCAGCGGCTACAACCACCACCGCTTATGCCCCTCTTGTGTAATGATTGAATTGTTCAGTGTAAGGGAAATGTATGGCTGTTGAAGGTGAACTTGTGTCCATGTGGCAGCGTGGTGTGGGGAAAGAACGGTGAAACACAGAATTTGTTGCCCTGCTCCGAATATGAAAACACGTTGGGGCGGTTACAAACAGCTTGAGTAGCTTTGATTTTCCTCCGGAGGCATTAAAATGGTAACGGTTCTTTTGATTTGCTTTCAGAATCATCAGATGAGGAGGTGTCAGAAGATGAACTCATGGGAAAAGAGGAGGACTCTGTAAGTTGAAGATGGGTTTTCAGTGGCTGCATTTGTTAATACATGATAAAAATTTCATGACAATCACTTGATATTACTTCAATAATAATAAAAATAATAAACCAAATTACCATTGCAGATAGTATCTCGGCAATGTTGTCTTGGTTTTTCTCAGTATAAATGTGAAGCTACGTTAATGATAAAATACTGTTACGTTTTTCATGTGAACCATTATATTGTTGATATCACTGCTATATATTTCTAACAAGAGTGCGGTGACATCCTAGAAGTCGGGAATGGCAGCTTGTTGACTCTCTTAACTCGTTTGCAAAACTTTAAACTCATGTTGGACAGTCTGGGTTAGGAATAGCATCTTCCTTTAATGCACATTAATGCAAGATTGTCTTTGCCACTAGGACAACTGGGAGGAGATTGAGGAGCAAGAGGAAGGAGGAGACGACTCCGCCACCGAGATGAACGCCGTCGAAAAAGGAAAACATTCTGATGACGAAGTTGCCGAGAGTGATTGAAGAGCTTGAGCAGTAGTTGGGTTGACGATTGATGCACCAGTGAAAACGGACTCTACTTCAACATAATGAGAACCAACCCCCCCCCCTCCCCGATGTTGATGGAATTGTGGGTCCGATGGATGTTGGCACAAACTCTCGGACCTGCCGAGATTGAGTTAGACAATGAAGATGCCTCAACGTACAGAGTATTTTTATCTGCCCATATCTGCAAGGTTTCTAAATGCAGCATGCTTTTTAAACATTAAGGAATTATCGCTGCACACTGGGCTGCATACAATACCTACGCATCAATGGGGGCTATTGCTTTTCAGTAAGCAAGTAATGGATTGAGATGTCTAACTTTTTAAGGTTTTATGTTGCTTAAGTTTGACTTTGTAAAATCTGTACAGAGAATAAACAGTATGGAGCGTTGCATTCCCCAAGGTTTTATTTCCCCCCTCGGTCATCACATTTGTGGTTGCTTCAGTGACCTGCAAGGTAATTTTTGAAAGGTAGAAAGACCGTATCTTGTGTTTCACATACCTTACCTGACATGCAGCAGTTCAAAATAACTCGACGCATTTTCGGTGAACTTGAAAACGATGTTTTGAAATAAACACCGTCTTGCGCGCCTTAAATCTTGTGTCCAATTTTCCCTTTGTACCTGAAATGCTAACTAGCTTAAAAGGTCATGTTATTTATTATGAGCTGTACTTTTACAAGTGCATTATAAATGATAACCAGCGTATCAAAGTCCAGTAATATCTTCCAGGTTATACAGTTTCGCCTTTTAAAACTATTCTCAATGCTGAGAATAGGTTTCCCCCCTTTATATGGCAACAAAATAGGTTAAAATGTTAAAACACCAAACTGAAACCTTTTACAAGGAATCATGTCTGCATTAACCACAATACTTGTGGTCAAAATGCAAACAAAACATACTCTGATAGTATATGCACAGGTGTGGCGTGGCGTCCTCTGGTCTAACATCGTTTGAGACGAGGCTCAAAAGAAAGCTGTCTGGTGTGGACCAATCAGCTTCAAGGACAATGCATATATTTTCAGTGTTTTTTGTTTGTATTCTGACCACAAGTATTGTGGTTAAAGCAGACATGATTCCTTGTAAAAGGTTTCGGTTTGTTTTTTTAGCATCTAAATACCTGTATTGCCAGAAAAAAGGGAAAAAAACTTAATATGTTGGTACTGGCAAAGGAGGTCCCATGAAGTAATTGCATAGGAAACCTCAGTTAAAATGTAAATGTTTTACTTATGGGGTCTCTTTTTTACAGTATTCTAATTCCATAAAATGGCATGTCAGTGGTTTGATAACAAGGAAAATGTATCCACAGCACCATCCCAACATGCATGCAAGTTTATCCGAGTACGTTCAACGTGGAATATTAAATATCTTCATTGACAAGGTGGGAAAAAAATATCTCGCAATGTCCCAATTGGTTGATGCAATCAAAATAAAAGTCACTTCCGTGATACGAATTATTTCCCAGCGTCTGAAATGGCTGTCCAAAATCGGCCAGTGGCAATAATTGCGTTGAAATTAACGGTATGATCTTCAATTAAATTAGTACAGCTCACGACAATACCATGAAATTGCGTGTATGATTCGGCAATAAGCTGGGACAGTTAATTCTCAAACATAGGTTATTTTTTGCGAGTGTCCTCGGGCACCTATGAACTATGACATCGTGAAGGTGGGACCCCCCCTCACCGCCTCTCTTTCCCCGGGAATCCAGGAGCCATGGTGACAGCGTTGAGGAAGTCCCTAAGTTCTGTTCGTCGCCTCCTGTCCAGCGGCACAAGTGGAGACGGGCGATACCTTAAAATGTTTTTTTGTGCTAACCGATTGAGCAGGGAGTTTACGAAACTCTCCCCCCCCCCCTAGCCATTAGACCAGGGGTGGGGAACCTTTTTTTCTGCCAAGGGCCATTTGGATATTTATATAACATCATTCGCGGGCCATACAAAATTATCAACTTAAATTTTTTTATTTAAAGCTTTCGTGACTGCAGTAATTCATATTCTTAGCTCTTTCGGTAAAGTCACGTTGAAGGGAAACAATAATAAAATATATAAAACAATACATTCATTCGACGTTTCGACCATAACACAAACGGTCGTTATGGTCGAAACATCGTGAGAATTTTTATTGTTTTATATATATATTTTATTGTTTCCCTTCAACGTGACTTTACCGAAAGAGCTAAGAATAACTTTAAAAAGTATCCTGTTATATTTGGTCAAACGTTTAATTAACTCACCCCTAATGCGATGGCTGGAACTGCTTCTCTTTGGTGTGGCGTGTGATGATGTTAGCTGGTATTGATAATGTTGCTACTAGCAACTGCTTTTCCAGGTTTGCTCCTAGATTTATTGAATTTCGAGTCCCGCCTGCGGTTGCCTTGGCAGGGCCAGACGTTCCCCACCCCTGCATTAGAGGCTGCGATATTCATACTTCTTTGGTTCTTTCGGTAAAGTCACGTAGGTATAGAATAAATCACGACGTTTCGGGCGCAACACAAGCGTCCATCATCAGGTGGGAAAGCATGGTCTGCTGCTGAGCGCCCGAAACGTCGTGATTTATTTTACACCTACGTGACTTTACCGAAAGAATCAAAGAGTATGGATTCCTGCAGTCACGAAAGCTTCAAATCATGATTGCTGCTATATTCGTTAAATATTTTTTTTAATCATGAGGGGAGCGGATTTGTTAAACCCCCAATGCAAGTGTTCATGAAGCCTTATAAGACATTTCCAAGCTGTAAAATACTGTGTATTGTAACTCAATCTTTCCACTGACAAACACAAATAAAATTGGAAGTGTCACGTAACTTAAATTGGCCCAGTAATGTAGGATTGGTAAATTAATTCGATAGTTATTTGAGTAAAACAGTATATTTCACACATTAATTGGTGGGATGGTTAATGCCAACATAAATGTGATCTAGTTATTAAATCAGTGTTATGGACGATGCGTTTTATCAATGTTGTGGTTATCATAAGCTTTCAGTCCGATCACCCTACTAGCTTACCACACCAATATGATGCAAAACCATTTAAATTACAAAAAAGCTCCACCGGTTACAACATTCTGGATCTTATGCTGCTGGGTAACCAGTTATTAGTAAAGGCCACTCCATCTAAACTACGGGGCCTCATTAAACTAAACTATTTGATTTGACCAGGTCAGGAGCTTTGTGGTTATTTTCCATAATTGACCTGGCCATCACAAATGATAGCTCAACGAAGTGGCTTATCAATGTGGACCTTTACAGCAGCCAATACGCTCTAAACGCGCGATGTTGAGTCTACATTTGGAGGCAAAAGAACCGGAGGACCCGGAGGAAAAATCCACGCGACCACGGGGAGAGAGAGACACCGCAAACTACAAACATAGATCAGGGGTCGGGATTGAACCCAGGTCCTCATGCGGATCAGGCGAGGTAGTTCGCACTAAAAGGTCAAAAATTTAATGCTTTCCATTAGGCGTCGCTGTCGAGAATGAGGGGCACAAGTTCCGCTTGCATATGCTGTTTACCTGGAAGTGCTCTGCAGCGATGCGCAATGCTGTAACGCTGTGGTGCCCGCGTCATTTTCTTTTTGTTTAAGTTTTAAAAAAAGGTTAAACTTTTAATTAAAGTGGCGCCAACAACCAACTTCCGGTACGGGCGGTGACGTAATTCTCTTTCACGTCGGAAACGCGTATCAGCCGCGCATGCGCAGTTGGAGCTTGCGTCGGTGAAATGGCGGCCAGTGATGGAGGAGGCTTCGGCACCGCGGGGGAAAGGGACGGCGCCGCGAATCCGTTGCATCTGTCGTCATCCCAAGGTTTGTCGGCTCGCCGTTTCTTCTTTGACGTGTGCGCACGGGCGTTACTCGTGGCCGCTGATCGTTTAGCACGTCGGATGTTTTGGTTCCCGCACTCCATCGTCCCTGCGTGGGGTGTTTCGCATGAGAGGCTTTTTTTCTCTTTTGCCTGCGTGGCGCGCTGTAAAAAAAAAAAAGAGAGATGTGTTAAAAGCGCGGGAGAGGTCGTCGTTGCCCTCCCGAATACTGTGATCTTGTTGCGGTAGCTTAAGTTTATTGTAAACAAAAAAACAACTCGCAGCGTATTTTTTTGGAGATGTATCTGCGTTTTAACCGATGGGGTGTGTACAGTACGCAGGCCGCATTGCACGTTATTGCTTCGTACTTTGAGGCGTTCTAAGTTAAAGACGTTTATCTGAAATAAACACATTAAACGGCCTTAACGAACAAATGCAATTGTCTTAACTGCTCATTGGAGTGGCATCCGGTGGAAATTCCACATTTCTACGGCATCCACTGTTGACCTCACAAAATGGTAGTTAATGTATCGACCATGAAGGGATAATAAAGTCGATCCCGCAGCGTGATATAACAAGTTTCATTCAGCAAAATCAACCAATGTTTACAAACAGAGTTTGCAATATTTAATCCAAATTGTGCAATTACAAACCAGTATCCAGAACCTTATTGTAAAAAAATATAAATAGCTTGATGTTTGGTTTAGGGACCACGTGTTGCAGTAAGGAGACACGGTCTCGAACTTCCGCGTTTATTCCAGCATTGCTGAGTCGCGTTTGTGCTGTCCAGCTTTTATTGTCTGATTTGCCTGCTGCTCGTGTAGCACTTAATTGGCTAAAACAAATCATCTTTACTGCCAGTCCTGTATGTTTCGTCTCGTTTGTACTGTCTCTCTGCCTTGTGTCGTCTCATTTTTACGACCTGGCACGATGCTTGTATGGTGAATGTAAAATATATTTTTGAGTTTCGACATTCCGGTAAAGTAGGCTTGCGAGGATTCGCCCCCCCCCCCCTCCATGAGTCGATTATTGCATTCGGGAATCGGTTCCTTTTGGCCATAGTGGTGCATTTAGAAGCGAACATGACGAAAAAGGTTTCTTATTCTTGGTTCTTTCGGTAAAGTCACGAAGGGAAATAGTAAAACAATAAAATAAAATTCTCGCGACGTTTCGGCCACAACGCAAGCAGCCGTCCGAATAATTAGGACGCCGTCTTTCCGACAGCTCTGTTCTTCACCAGAGGACGGCTGCTTGCGTTGTGGCCGAAACGTCGTGATAGTTTTATTATGTTTTATTTTTTTATTATTTCCCTTCTACGTGACTTTACCGAAAGAACCAAGAATACGAATCCCTGCAGTCACGAAAGCTTTAAATCGAAAAATAAAAGGTTTCTCTAATCTAAACATCCTTCGTGCAGTTTTCCGCTTGGCGTTTCAGTCATTTTCTCAACAACCGTGGTTAATTATACGGAGTTTGAATCCTTGCTAATATATTCTTAGACGAACAATTCTATACATGTCGCATAAGAATTGATTTTAGTTAATTGAAAGTTACGTATTTAATTTTAAAACGTCCACAATTATGGAGTGGAACAATCGGTATTTGTTATGCTTAAAGTGGTCCACTCTCAACATTTACTGTCTGGGTCATTAAGTCGCCGACCTTTGGATGCAACTGCAAAGCCCACCTCAATAAATTGAAGAGCAGTTGCATCAAGCTATTATGGTCCTATTCGGCAAAGTGCATCAATGTATGAACTCGCCATTGAATTCCCAAGGATCTTGTTTTTGTATGCCTGTCAAGCTCGAAATATACTTGAATTATATGCAAATACTCTAGTGGTTGTGGAAAGTGTGCTTTTACTTTAAATACAAGTGGTATGTGTTCTCAAGTCGGGTACAAAGCGAGGAGGTATTAATGTATGCCTTTTGTGGACAAATTATTTTTTTTTAAAGTCCTTAAAGTATTTCATGAGATCAGTGGGCTACATTAAGGTTCATTGATGTTTGTTTTTACTGACATTTTGTAAGCAATTACTCGTTTTAAAGGGTCGGGCAAGCTTCAAGGTAAGTTGCTAAGAAGCCTGGCTTCTTATGAATAGTGACGAGCTCAATTGTTGACCGTGGTTAGTCATGCCTCCCATAACGATCCGGGTTGGTGTTTGCCAAGTGCTGGCTTATCTTGGGCTTGGCAGTAAAACCCTGGTGCACAGGTTGTACTGCCTTATTCACATCTGTTTGCTTGCCACGTAGTCGTGAAGTAACCTCACTCTTTGATACTTGCTCCTCAGATCTCGCCAACATGCAGATTGATGATTATGAGCAGCTGGATAGTGTTCCAAAGCCATCGTCGACCAAACTTAAATTAACGGAAAATAAAGTTGGGGCTGACTGGAGCAATGGGGATTCCACTACAAATCACACGTTTGTATCTGAAGAGAAGCAACGGCCACTGGTGGACTACGGTGTGGACATGATGGACGCAGCTTATGATGAACAAGGCTCAGAATTTCTCGCACCCGTTCCAAAGGAGTTGGCAAAAGCAGCTGAAGACGGTGGGCACGTTTTGTGTCCTGTGGAAATCATTGCCAAGCCAACAATTGCTTCTGCTGACAATAAGCAAGGATCTTCTTTACCTGTGCAAAATGCTCCGGAAGGGATGACAGAAATTGCTGGTGATAAATGGGACTCTGTGGCCACACAGGACAAAGTGCCAGCAGAGACGTTGAGCACTGAAGTGAATAACGTGAATGCGGGTTCTGTCTTAGGACAGGAAGAGTGCAAGGTGCTCCCTCAAGTTGCTGAGACCCAGGGTGCAGCTGTAGTGAATGCAGAGAGGAATTCGACGGTGGGGGACTCGTCTTTTTACGACCCAGAGGAGGAGATTCCACCTTTCCCACCAGAGTTTGACAAGTACTGGAAGGCCGTAGAGGAGAACCCACAGGACTTCACTGGGTGGACATACCTGTTGCAGTACATTGAGCAGGAGGTAAGGCTGTGTGTTCTTGGCTGTTTTATGTTCATGGTTTTATGATTGTTATTTTTATATGTTAACATTCTTGTTAAAATGTATTCATATTTTACATTCGGATTTGTGACAGTTATGGTACAACATTCACTTTTTATATTTTTCTTGTTACTACAGAACCATGTGTGGGCTGCAAGAAAGGCATTTGATGAGTTTTTCATGCGGTACCCGTACTGCTACGGCTACTGGAAGAAGTATGCAGATCTGGAAAAGCGCTTTGGCAACGTGAAGCAGGCAGAGGAGGTGAGCTTCGGATGGCCCATTCGGCAACAGGGACGTGCCTTTACCGAGATCCTAGAGCCAGAGGCGTTCTCGGTGGTGGCATGGACTTTACTCCACAAACATTCGCGTTGCATGTTTCATAAGTCCTTGCCCAAATTCACTCAAGTTCCTATAAAAGTGGAAGCCACAATTGATGGATAGTAATACTTAAAATTTGGCACATTGGCTACCCCCGTGCAAGCCTTTTGAACTTGTAACGCATGCTCCCTTTCAACATGACTTCTGTTTTTAGGATCTGCTGTCTGATTCGTGCCAGTGTTGCATTTTGTCTTCATGTTGTACTGCTAACATGTTCTCTGTCTTTCAACAGGTGGCACCGCAGCTTTAACCAGCTGTGGGGTGCAGCAAGTTTGCCAGTAGCTACCATTTGATTAGGCCAGGGCTGTCTTGCTCTCACTGTGCCTAATTGGCTAATTTCAACTTTCTTAATAGGTGTGTTTGCTGCGTTCAAATTTCAACCATACGATGCGTTTGCCGGTTTAATTTTTATGCCACCAGTCCATTTCGAAAAGAGGTACATGGTTTTATGGTGGTGATACTCTAATGGGTCTATGCCTTATGGTCTGTATCCCAAGCCCCCCACATCCTACCCCCCTTCGATGAGCTATGCTGGACGTCTTGAAGAGTACAAGAATACAAGGGGAGAGCTGAGCATTGTGATGTATTTCCAACCTGCGCAAGCATGGTAATGCTGGAATATTCAAACACAATTCCTGAGCAGAAACAAATTTGCGGTCCTGGCTTTGGGAAGGCGATATATGGCTATGTGCTCTTGAGGATGGTGGGCTATTAACTTTCTGGCCCCTTTCTGTAACCCTTTCCTCTTTGTGTGTAGGTGTTTAGACGTGGTTTGCAGGCCATACCCCTCAGCGTGGACCTCTGGATACACTACATTAACTTTGAGATTGAGTTGCTCGACCCAGACTGCCCTGAAACCGTCTCGAAGATTCGAAGGTGTGCATAAAATGTTTTGTTAATGTAAATGCATGTTGTACCTCAGGACTCGTGTAATAAACACTCGTGTAATGTTCTATTTTATCATTGTAGGCGCACAACTGCCACACGTAACTTTATTTAAATTTGCACTTTTAAATGAAGATGCTATCAAAAAAACTTGTGGATTCGCTTTAAAACTTGACCTACGTAGGCTATGTCCCCCCCAAACTGTCTGCCATGAGTTTGAAGATAGTTAATAAGATGGCAAGCCTTTTAAAATCACTGTCAGCTGTAGAACATTGTAGTGATGTTGCCCTACTAGCATATTAAAATGCATAAGGGTGATACGAGTTCCATAAAGACTCCTTTGGCCATAACTTTAAAGTATATGGACAAAGTTACAGACCCATGCTGGATAATCTAAGACACACAGCCAGGGTATATGTTAACAATATGGGAGATTTGTCTTGGAGTCAAATCTTTAAATAGAATGTGTGGTTTCAGAGTACAGTGAAATAGTTGCAATCACGATGTTTGTGTTGTTGGCTTTCAAACCCTGTAGCCTTTTCGAGTTGGCCGTCGCGGCAGCGGGAACAGACTTTCGCTCGGACAAACTTTGGGAAATGTTCATCTCGTGGGAGAGGGAGAATATCCGCCTGAGGGAGGTGACAGCCGTGTATGACATGGTGCTGAACATCCCAACACAGCTCTATAGCCACCACTTTGACAAGTGAGTTGTTTGCAGTCTGTGTCACACCCTTATCTTGTTTTTCTGTGTGGTTGCGTGCTCAGAGCCATTAAAGTTGCTGTATTTTTCTTTATTTTCAGCAAAATATTTTTCAAATGGCATTGTGTAAATGAATGATTGTCTAAATGTCCAAATACACAACATGTATCCTATTTTAATGTGCTCATTTATTCGCAGTCATTGGTGATCATCCTAAGATATCAACTTGTTACCATTAAAATGAGTTCAAACTAGATTTGGTGCTTTCGTGACTGCAGGAATTAATCTTTGTTTTTTTCGGTAAAGTCACGTAGAAATAAGAAAAAATAAAATTACATAATATACGACGTTTCGATTGCAACACAAGCAATCATCAGGTAGAGGAAACGCAACCGCAGATATATACACAGACCTTAAGTAGAGGGAATTAACACAGATATACCAGGGGATACAGAGAGACGGAGCATCACACTAAATCAAACAGGGTTTAGCAAAATTTGGAAACTATATAAAGCAACACAGACGGTCGGTTAAAACACAACGCATGGTCTGGTTGAATACACTATTTCAAAGATTGTTAAATTGTAAGTTAAGTGTGAAATTTAAGATAGTGATAGAATACATACCGTAGAGAGACCTATGGGGGGAGACACGCACACAGTTAAGATTTAGTGTGATGCTCCGTCTCTCTGTATCCCCTGGTATATCTGTGTTAATTCCCTCTACTTAAGGTCTGTATATATCTCTGCGGTTATGTGTTTCCTCTACCTGATGATGATTGCTTATGTTGCAATCGAAACGTATATTATGTAATTTTATTTTTTCTTATTTCTACGTGACTTTACCGAAAAAAACAAAGATTAAAATGAGTTCTTAATAGCAGATGGCTGCCTGGATTGAAACGTGTGACCTCTGACAGCTCAGAGCTCTTCAGCCACCCTGCCACCTGTACACTGATTTGTTTGCGATTGCCACGTAGGTTCAAGGAACACGTGAACAACCACCAGCCTAAAGACATCTTGTCAACGGACGAGTTCCTTAAGCTGCGTGCACAGTTGGTGTCGAGCAGACTTGAGGCCGGGGAACAAGGAGTCGGGGGAGTTGAGGAAGACGACGAAGACGTGGGTGTCTCCAGTGGGGGGGATGCGCCACCTGGCATAGAGGGCCCCCCTGGAGATGACCAGCCACCCGGGATGGAGGTTGAAAATGTGGAAGTCAAGGTGGGTTCTAATAAGTCATAGAAAAACCGCTCACTGCCTTGGAAGGGATTACCCTCGTTTTATGGGTGGTATTTTCACTCAATCAGATGGTGCTTTGATAGCAAACCACGTATAAACGGAGTGTTATACAAGCTGCCATGTCTGTAGCCCCCACTTTAAACATGTGATAGCCAGTGTATAAGTATAGTTTAACAACCCCTACGCACCTCCAATTAGCAGTTGGCTATGTACGGTGTGAAAGAAGTTGAACATATATACGTAACAGAAACCGATCTACAAGAACTTTAGCACTAGGCATCTAATGATGCATAGATTTCACGATTAATACCCATTATGCTAAAAATATGTTGAATGTGTCAGAATAATTGATGTAAAAATATATAGTTAAGCGAATTTTACATTTAGGATAACACAAACCAAATGTAAACTTCAAATGAGATGGTAACTAAAATCAATATATTCTTGATTTGCAAGTCGTGACGATTCATCAAATTTCTCGAGTGGATGAATGGTCCAGTGTCGGCTATTGTCAATTATATGGAATGGTTATTCATGTTTTGCCGTGGGGTTGCTGACATTTTATATTATTTCCTGTGGTGCTTTAGTAACAGATGCGATTTGCTGAGCTGAACATGTGCACATTTGATGTCCATCGGACCAGGAAAACGCATTTTAACTCGTTAAATAGTTTATGGCATGGCAATAAAAAATATATTGGTATATTTTCCAGGTGGATGCAGAGACGGAAAAGCTACGAGAAAGAATTATTGGCACGCGGCAAGATATTTTCTTCCAGAATGAACAGGAGGTTAGCAAGCGGTGGACCTTCGAGGAAGGGGTAAGTGGTATACTACATGTAGACAATCACAACTTGGTATATTAGTGATGTTTGGGAATGGCTAGAAATTTGAAATTTCGAACATTGTCAAATCTATAGAATTTTAAGTCGGACAACCATTCTGGCTTGCCACCTGTTAAGGGGCGGGTATATTGTTTTATCGTCATAGGAAAGGGTCAGCCTAGTTTGCAAATTGCTTTATAAAGTTGTCATAAGCCGCTAGTTTTTCATAAATGTACTCACGTTTGTTGACAAGCCGTCGTTTTTGCGAACATCACTCGTTAGCAATACCCGTGGATGATTTAACATGTGTATAAACCTTTTGAAGGATGTTTTCGCTACCTGGTCACCGTTTGGCTTACACTGACCGACGTGTGCGTCGTTACGCAGATCAAGCGACCGTACTTCCACGTAAAGCCACTGGAGAGGGCACAGCTGAAGAACTGGAAGGAGTACCTCGACTTTGAGATTGACAACGGCACCCACGAACGCGTGGTCGTCCTCTTCGAGCGCTGTGTCATCGCGTGTGCCCTCTACGAGGAGTTCTGGATCAAGGTGAGTGTTTACAATCAGATTTGCTTGCACATGGCCGGATGAGTTTGCAGCTTTAGAAATCTTTTGTGCAGATCAGTTGGCCAGGAAATTGCTTCATTGGATGTGTGGTGGACTGTTTCCTTGTCATCCGTTCGATATTATTCAGAATTCACAGCGCTTCACAAATATATAGTCAGTGGTGAATGGTTTGGTCTGTATTTTTGCAATTGCATTTCTGGATCATTTTTATTTTACCCAAGTGAAGGTAGTAGGCACACAAATGTTAACACATCCATCATTTGAATTGATGGGTGTGCTAACGATTGTGTATGCATGCAGCATATATCTAGTTATTAGTATATGCACATTTGTATGAACAGCAGACGACTAAATTAAATGTCGATTGGTGCTATTAAGGTCACAGGAGCACTGTTGAGGTACTGTTTACAGCAGCGTGTTGCAAATCTATAATGTTACACTGTCGTGTGCTTGCCTTGCAGTATGCGAAGTACATGGAAGAACACAGTTTGGAGGGCGTGCAGAACGTGTTCAGGCGCGCCTGCATGATTCACTTGCCAAAGAAGCACAACATCCATCTGCTGTGGGCAGCATTCGAGGAGCAACAGGGTAAGGGAGGAGTTGCACGTAACAGTAACCTTGTGTTTTATGACATTTTTTTAACATTGACATGCCCTACAAGTGAGCCATGCAAATACAATCTGGAAACACGTTTGGTTCAATAATGTAATTAAAACTTGTCATCCTCGCCTACCGGCCCTCATCTGTTTGAGTGACACGACCTGCCCAAGTACACTTTTCTTAAGTCAAAGGAGCTATTAAATGTTTTTAGTTGTCTTCTCGACACAGCATTATCGCACCACGATCGCTGAAGACCCTCTGTGCGTGTCTGCAGGTAACCTGGACGAGGCACGCCGAGTGCTGCGTTCACTGGAGGAGTCTCTACCTGGGCTTGCGATGGTTCGCCTGCGGCGTGTGAGCCTTGAGCGCCGGCAGGGCAACTTCAGCGCTGCGGAGACTCTGCTACGGGAGGCCATGGAAGGCGCCAAGACCCCAGAAATGGCCTCTTTTTATGCCATCAAGCTGACGCGCATGCTCGCCAAGGTGGAGAAAACCGTGGAGAAAGCACGCAAGGTTCTGCTGGATGCCATCGAAAAGGACTCGGTAAAGTTGTCTTGTTACCTGACTGTTTTTACAACTGTGTTTACAAATTTAATTCATCTTTAGGTTATATGCCATTTTAACAGCTAATTATGCAAACTTGTAAGTGAAGAACTGCAAGGATATCACACGCTAATTTAATGTTATTACTCTTTGTGCCCTTGAATTCAGATGAACACAAAGATTTACCTAAATCTTCTGGAGTTGGAGTTCAGTGGTGATATTGCAGTCAATGAAGAGCACATTATGGCCTGCTTTGAGAAGGTGCAGAGCAGCGATTTGTCCATGGAAACAAAAATCACCTTCTCCCAGCGCAAAGTGGAGTTCCTGGAAGACTTCAGCATGGACGTCAAAAAGTGAGCATTCCTGACGATCCAATCCGAGGGCTTCCCTCACAAGCAGAGGCGCGTAAAACCATTTCCCAGTCTTGCATGCATTATTGGGAATTTAGAAAAAAAAAGCCTGTGCTTTTGTGTGCCAATGAGAGCTGGTGGGTGTAATTGATGTGTTTTCTCCCTTATCCTGCCGTCACTAGACTAGGCTTGATGTTTCTGCACAGAACACATGCTGTGGGTGGCCGAGGCATGCTGGAAAAGGTACTAAAGGGCTGAGCCAGCCTTTTGTGGGTAATGGTCACCTTTTTATTTTGGCAAAGGCGAGCGCCCCCCATTTTCATGCGGTCAAATTTTTTTTTCCTCCCTTCCTGCACCGTTTGTAGCGACGTTTGAGTGGCTTGCGTGTTCTGCACTAGTTTTTATGCTTCGCTGTTTTCATGCCATTTTGCAGGTTGCTAGCTGCCTACGATGAACATCAAGTACTTCTAAGACAACATTCCACTGCAAAGAAGAGAGCCCCAACTGAGAATGGGTAAGAGAAACCTTTCTGTTTTATGTTTTGACTAGCCTTTTGCCCGCCCTAGGACGGAAGCTGTAATATTTACGAAAAAAATTAGCCAAGTATAATTGTATCTTGTGTAAATTTAATGGCAGTACATCTTGCACAAAAGTATGTCATCAAACACTTAACTGCATTTCACTGTAGGACTATTCATGGCAGTGAATCTGGCACAAAACGAAGTCGTGAAACACTTCACTGTAGCACTATTAATGGCAGTGATTCTTGCACAAACCTGTCATCAAACACCTCACTTCATGTCACTGTAGCACTGTATATAACTGACCTTCAATTTGTTCAAATTCACTGCTCTGATACTTTATTCTCTTCTGCTTTTGGTCGCTGTGGTTGAAATTAATTGGAAATCGATACAATATCTGGAAAATCATTGAGAAATGTCTTTTACCATAATGTAGCAGCATAAATTAGACTTACCTTTTGTCTCAAGTGCTGAAGAAATAAATATAGACACTAAATCCACTTTGTTGCTGCATAGAATTATTTATTAGAGTCAGTTTCAATAAAGAAACGTGAAACTTAAAGCGAATTTGCGGGAATTTTTTTTTTATTTCTGCTCGACCTTCTGCGTGTGTAAAAATCCACTGGCTAATGAATATTAATGATGGGGGGGGGGGTGCGGCATGTGGAGTGACGCGCGTTGCATACAAATGGGCATTCTTGGCTCATTATAGTAGTAATAACACCGTTTGTGGTTGTGATAAGGATGACTTGCCTTGATTTAAAGAAATAATCTATCCTTAAGTTTTAACCATACATTAATCGGCATGTAATAATTTACTCCCCCGACAATCAAGAATTGATTTTATTTTAGTGTTTTGCCATCTGGTCTATTACTCCCACCAATATCCTAATTATGTAATATTTGCATATCGTCAAGTTATTTTTACACAATTTGAAGCATAATTGTTCTTGTAAGAATAAGCTAATTCAAGCATCATACTTAGAAAACAACCGCTACATTTTTTTCAAGCGTAATTTCTATTTTAGGTAGATGTGACAAGTTGGCCAATTTATTATTATTAGTACAAACCGATGACAATAGCAAAATTTGGTGTTGCGTTAGTGCCGAGGAGCCGGAGGAGAAGAGGTTCCGGCTGGAAGAGCCGGTGGTCGCCCCGGTAATTGCAGCGCATTTGAACCCAGCGGCGGCGGCGGCGGCGGCGGCAGCAGCACCCGCGCCTCTCCCCATGCAGCATCCGGCTGACCCCAACGTCGCCCAGGCGGCCTACAACTACAGCAACTGGTACCAGGTGAGCGCCACAATGTGTCACCGGGAACCAGCGGACTTAACGTGGAAATACTCGGCTCATTGTTAATGATAAAATAGAGGGCAGGGTCATCCCAAAAATTATGTCACTAAAAGTTACATTATCCACATTTAATGAACCAAGTTATCATCCTCCCATACTGTTGTTACTCTAATCGATATGAAAGAGACAAATATTGATCGTGGATACTAGAAAGATATCGGCAACAAATGAGCAAACTAAGAAACAAGCACAGCTGTCTTATGCAACAGTAGTAAATTAAAAAAATGTGCAACCCTTTTCTGTATAATGTAGACTGTAGCCTTAACCGAGGTATAGACTGGCAGTACACTCACCCAGCTTTATAACCATTGCTACAGTCTACATGATAGACTGCCAGTATACTCGCCAAACTTAATAAACAGGCTACAGTCTACATCAGTGGGCTTTTATTTTATTTTCATAATTTTTAATTCGCTTTTTTTATTTTTTTTATCTACGTGACTTTACCGAAAGAACCAAAGAATAAGAATGCCTTAATAACCATTGCTACAGTCTACATTAATGGGCTTTTTAATATTATCTTCATTATTTTATTCACTTTATTTTTTTTATTATTTTTCTATCTACATGACTTTATCGAAAGAACCAAAGAATATTATAGAGTTAGTATAGCTATTACTATAGCCAGGACACACTGCTATAGAGTTAGTATAGCTACTACTACAGCCAGTACACACTGCTATAGAGTTAGTATAGCTACTACTACAGCCAGTACACACTGCTGTAGAGTTAGTATAGCTACTACTACAACAAGTACACACTGCTATATAGAGTTAGTATAGCTACTATTACGGCCAGTACACACTGCTATATAGAGTTAGTATAGCTACTACTACAACCAGTACACACTGCTGTAGAGTTAGTATAGCTACTATTACGGCCAGTACACACTGCTGTAGAGTTAGTATAACCACTACAGCCAGTACACACTGCAAATAGAGTTTGTATAGCTGCTATTACAGCCAGTACGTACTATTGTAGTGCTAGTAGATACTGCTATTGAGTCGGTAGATACTTCTATAGAGTTAGTAGATATTATTATAGTCAGTATATACTACTGTAGAGTTAGTAGCTACTGCTATAGAGTCGATATCTACTCTTATAGAGTCAGGAGATGCGACTGCAGAGTCGGTAGTCTACTGTAGAGTCAGATTCTGTTATAGAGTTAGTAGTTACTACTATAGTCTATATACGACTATAGATTCAGTAGGTACAACTATACAGTCCGTAGATACTACTACGGTCAGTAAATACTACTACAGTCAGTAGATACTACTGTAGAGTTCGAAGCTATTTCTATAGTCAGTGTATACTGCTATAGTTGGTAGTTACGACTATAGAGTCAGTCGGTAGATAACAGTTCAGTCTGTAGATACCACTATAGTCAGTATATACTGCTGCAGAGTCAGTCGATTCGACTATAGAGTCAGTAGAAACTGGTATAGCGTCAGCAGATACTACCATAGTGAGTGGATACGACTGTAGAGTCAATAGATATGACTAGATTCAGTATATACTACTATAGTCATGAGATACTACTGTAGAGCCAGTATTTACTACTATAGAGTTGGTTGATAGTACTATAAAGTCAGCAGATACTACTGTAGAGTATAATACTACTGTCGACTCAGTAGATACTATTGTAGGGTCAATAGATACTACTGTAGAGCCAGATACTGCAATAGTCACTAGATACTACTCACTATTGTATGTAGGGTGTGTTGGTATATATGCCTACGGGGGGGGGGGGGGGTAAAAATATTTTTTGAGGTGGGTGGTGGGGAGGTCAACAATTTTCAGAAACCTTTTTAGATCAACTATTTACCTGCCACTTTTTATTACTTTTAGATTCAGGACTTCTTCAAGCCTCTTATAATTTTGTTGATGGACAAATGGTCAAACGGAATGCCGGCCTTTCACAATAGCTTAGTAAATTTTGATTTAAAGCTTTCGTGACTGCAGTAATTCATATTCTTAGCTCTTTCGCTAAAGTCACGTTGAAGGGAAACAATAAAAAAATATATATTGTTTTATATATATTTTATTGTTTCCCTTCAACGTGACTTTACCGAAAGAGCTAAGAATATGAATTACTGCAGTCACGAAAGCTTTAAATCAAAATTTACTAAGCTATTGTGAAAGGCCGGCGTTCTGTTTGACCATTTGTCCATCAAATATATTTATAAAACAATAAATATATTGTTTTATATATTTTATTGTTTCCCTTCAACGTGACTTTACCGAAAGAGCTAAGAATATAATAGCTTAGTACTTGTGTATGTATGGTATGTTTTTAAGATAAGTTTAAATATATTTTCTTCCCGGGCAACGCCGGGTACTTTCCCGCTAGTGATCTATATATCACTCGCCACTGATATTATCTGTGGCCAGGAATCGTACTCGAGTTCCTAGTGCTGTATGTGGATAATTATACCATCCAATCTACTGAGCTCAATGTTACTTATGTAAGTTGGGTAATTTGTTTAGCCTTGTATTTAGTTTGACACACAGCGCTTGTGGATGTATGTAGATTGCATGTCCCCCCGGGTTGCCTACCATGGTCTTCAGAATTAGAATTTCACCGAGTGTTTTGTTGGAATACCTGGCTACAAATTCAAAATGTTTTATATTAAATGTGCAAACTCGTGTAGGATAGCCCAATCACAGCTGATGCACTTATCTACAGGAAGCTATATTTTTTTGTCTTTAAAAATACTAATTACATGATATATTGTTATTCTTAGCTCTTTCGGTAAAGTCACGTTGTTTCCCTTCAACGTGACTTTACCGAAAGAGCTAAGAATATGAATTACTGCAGTCACGAAAGCTTTAAATCAAAATGATATGTTGTTGTTGTTGTTGTGGCCCCAGTTTACTGTACCTTTGTATGCAATGTGTCCACAGCATTACAACTACCAAAACTACCCAGGAAGCTACCAGAACTACCACAACCCATGGAACTACGGGCAGTACTACCCACCCTCTTAAACGACTGGAAAGGGGCAAAGGCGTTGTTTGCAAAGTTCTTCTGCGTTATAAGTCATGTTTTTTTTTATGACTTTCTACCACTCCATAGGGGCAGTGACAGTATGGGAATGCACACGTTTGAGTAATTGAACTTGCGTTAAGTGTTCAATTGTATTCCCATGCGGGGTGTGTCCTTGTGTTTATACGTTGTAAAATGTTCAAGAAGATAGAGCAGTCAATACAATCCGGTGAATAAAAGTACATTTTTTTTTAATTAGGATAGAAATTGCCCATTGAAGAGCAACTCTCTGTATTTTACAATTCGTGAATAATTTTCTCTTCCTGCCAGTAGAAACGAACAAAACATTGCTCCCTGTACTTTTGTGGAATTTTATTGACTTGCTCTGGTGTCTTGTGGCTCTTTTGCCATTTCTAGTTTAGTTGGAAAATCCAAAGGGGATGCTGGAAATCATTTATATGATGATCATCGTTTGTAGATGGCTCTGCACGAGCCAAAAAATGCAATCATAATGCTGTAAAGAAACATCACGAGGAAAAAAAACCCAAGTGTGTGCAAATTGCATCATTACTACAGTTTTGAAAGTATTAACTGCACATTTTTACACTTTCCATTGTAGACATTTTCCATGTTCAAAATAAAACATTTAAAGACTGCAAGTTACGAAAATACACATTAAAGAATTGACTGGCTATATTTTATTTAGGTGAAATGGCAATGTATAATTGTGTGGTTTTTGGCCACATTTTGAGTTGTATGCAGTTCACACTGCTGTTGGAGATGTTATGGCTTCCACACTGCTTTCAAGCATTTACAACTTAAAAGGAAAAATAAGTGTAAATTTTACTTTCCCAGTATAATTGAGAACTAAATCATGGGTGAATTAAAAACGTGGGTGTTAGGAGTTCACTACTGCCCCTTGTTAAGCTCTCATGAGTTGGTAAATTTGCGTTTTTTTTTCTAGCTTTGGCTGGTAGTCAAACTTATACAATAAGTGTAACATGAAAGTGTTTTCAATAAAATTGTCATTTGAGTAAACTTGTTGGATTGTTAACGAGTTGTGTTTGCAATAGAGGCAATGTCTAAACGTGTACAGCATACATGTATAAGGTTATAAATTATCCTTATGGTCCTGACTTGGTCAACGGGTAAGTAAAACAACATTACACACATTTGAAATGGTGCATTTAACCTTCGAAAAATGGGTCTTGCAAACCACAATGGCCCATTTTTAACCTTGAGCCTGCATTTGATGGTCTGACAATCTTTCAAGCATAACGTGGAATAAGGTAGTCTATTCTCAACATTGCCTGACGCAATGAGGGCACTTTCTGGCTTGAACATCTTTAGGTTGGTATGATAAAAAATTCAACTTTAGATAAAACTGAATATTTGGCATATGCTTGTGGATTGGCCAACAGTGGTGGGGTGGATATCAAATATAAAAAAAATGTATTTGCCAACCCAAAAGGAGTTGCCAAATTGACTGCTGAACTAAAACGTCTCAATTTTCATTTAGGAGTGCCACTTTGTTTTCCCAAATGCGATTTTCTTGTTGACTGTTTTGCCCTATGCACTGGGGCGCCTCTGTGCATTACATCACATCTCAGACTTTGGAAAGGGCACCCCCTCCCAGTGGCAGCTGTCCTCGTGGGCATACAGTAACTGCGCACTTTGCCTACGAACGGGCATTAGTTTGCCAAGTAGAGGACGACGGTTGCCATGTATAATCCCAATTGGAGTTATGGTGGAAAATCAAAGTTGGACCCCGACGCTGGCACACAATGGCCTACTCTTGCGAATGACAGCCCGGGTCTAACGTCTACTGCAAAGCGGACAACGCATGTGGTTATACCGGTAGTAATAATTGGGGCGGATGCTAAAATTCGAACCATGAACCCTACGTAGCCAGTTGACGCACTGTTTTTGGCCATTACTCTACACAATGTTCAAAAGCCACGAGAAAAGTGAACTATTTCAGCATGACCGATTTGTCGACGTAGACAACACGATTCAAGGGCTGCAAAAGGCCTTAACGGGAGTCAAATGAAAATGCGAGCTTGCATATGGAAAGTAAGTGTTGATAAAGTAGGCTTCAGCGTGACTTTGAAATGGGTGGTGTGAAATTGTGATTCTACTTTTGGTCGCTAGGCGGCGATAATTATATCAGGGAGAGGATGTGTGACCGGCCTTCAAAGGTGCTCGCTAACAGGACTTGCCCCAATAGTCTGTTAGGCTATACGGGGGACCTTTATCTTTGTGCTGATTCTAGAATTGTATTTGAGACAGACTAAAAGTCAATCAACACGCTTGAAGTTAATTTCCCATAGAATAAACATTTGAAATATCTAATCTGCATGCAAAATACTAACGGGGTTGGACAAACTTCTAAGAAAAAAGAATTCCAGGAGCGAAGTGTCAAGTTTATGCATTGCAAGGAGCTGGGCTTGGAGAGGTACGTGTGTAGAACTTATTTTGCACCGTACTAATCGCAGGTACGCGCTTGGGAATTGCACCGACAGGAAAGAGGAAGAACACATGAATCGAAACGAACGTAAATCAGACTTCATATTTGTTGTCGAGGCATGAGGTGGGGCCACATTACCGCAAAGGTGATGGCCAATTGTCGAGATTCGTGGCGGAATGACAGCCAAATAAGCGAAGGCGCCCGACTTGTCGGTCGACGGCCGCGGAGGAGCAATGAGATCAGCTCATGTTCAGGAGAGAGATGGATTGTGTGATAACGTTCTGTTGAAAAAGGAGCTTTATAGCTCATCGGATTCCTCCAGTATAAATACATGTTCTGATTCTGGATGTGATCGACGGACAGTTGATGATCCATGATGTATTTTGGACAACAGTTCAGCGGTTTGATGAATCGCGATTTGAGCTCGTTGAATTAAGGTTAACCGCTGAATATTTCAACAAACAAACACTCCGATGTATCTTCCTTGTTATCTTCGCCCCGCACGCATCTGCGGAGCCTCGGATAAGAGTTACAGTTGAGTGATGTTTACCTTTTTTCAAGCGCAGTGCGCATTCCAAATGCCACCGCAGCCCAAATTACCCCGACATAAATAGCACTCCGCCACAGCTTCGCAACTCACCCACCCACCCATCCACTCAGCCACTCATCCAACCAGCCACCACAACCAGAAACAGCAGCAGCAGCCACCACCTCCTCCTCCCTCCCTCCTACCCCACGTCACTCCAACTCTTACCCCTGGTTCATTAATAACACTGGGATAGCGGACATGCGCACGGAGCAGCCAAGTGCACAGTTGTGTCTGCCTGTGAGCTCGCGTAGAACTTGCTTTCTTCAATAACTCTACACCACACACACACACACACGTGTCACCCGTGGGCACGTGTACACGCACGTGTGCGCGTGTGTGGCCGTATGTATACCTGCTTGCTCCATATGTGCAACCGTGCATGGTGCCGACCTTCAGTGGAGCGAGCCTAGTGAGTGACTCACACAGAGACTCCTCGACCCGCCTTGTCTGCCAACTGCGTTCCACATGGATGGTCTCCGTCTCTTACTCCCTTCTCGCAAGACGGTCGTTAATGCGAAGCGGCTGACTGCAGCTGAAGGAGCGGCCGTGAAGCGCCCTTCACCCGCTTGATGCGCCATCCACCGTCGTTACGGTCCTTGTTCTAAAAAAAAAAACATCTCGCGTGCTGACGTCGGTCACTCCTGGTGGTTTGAAGCTGGGGCACGGCCTCGGATATGGATTACGTCCGTGCTGTCCTACTCGCCGCTGTGGGAGCCGCATTCATGTTCGGTTGGACGCAGGTAAGAGTTCCCTCCCAAGTCACCCGCTCACTCAGACACCCGACAGACACTCACAATCATTTTGCAACTTTTCAATTCCGTAAAGTAGGAAACTAGGAGACATGCAACACACACACAAGAGGCAAGGCACTAGCTTGCACACAGCCCTGACAAATAGACGGGTAATTGTACGGTTAGTCGCAAGGCTGATACACACTACAGTGAATAACATACAAAACATACTATTCATAAAGGATAACCATGAGCGTGTTTGCGGAGAATATAAGCGACAAGATATAGATTTACGTGTAGGGATGGAGATACGAAGGAGATATGTATTACTTGCTTATCTACAATACTTGTATACATCAACCCACGGTTAACCACGGCATCTCCAACTTGTTCTGTGGCAGAATTAGGTTTTGTTTGTAGATTTCAATGACGAACAGGTTACGCTGAATGTTAAGTTAGAGGCGACTGTGTTTAGAGGTTCATTATCACCCCCAAGTTTTCGGACAATATTGACTGTGCGAACGACGGACACGCATTCTCACGATATCCTTTAATGAACAGAGAGCTGACATTTAACAAATACACACACACATATATAGAGTCGAGTCTATAAATACGAATAACCAAATCGGATATAAAAAAAACACGTGCAAAAATAACCTTACGGCCCGGAACGTCGATTCGTTTCGCCTGGAGTCAGTACTAGGGGGTTGATGCTCTGGATAGGTTAGAAAGCCGAAATCGAGATCACGGGTAGTAAGGGTCGAATCTGTGTCTATTAATAGACCAATGCTTGTTTGATTTCGCTCGTGTGGGCACGCGCACGGATCGCCAACGCAAAGTAACAAGATGAGCCGTTTATATTTTTTTCCTCACCCGAAACTCGGTTAAAGAAAAACAACGACAGCTCATTATTTCAAGAGCGTCAATGCACTGTGGTTGTAGGTGGTGGTGGTGGTGGTGAATACGAGGAGACGGTGGTGGGCCCTTCATGAATAACGGTCACGAAGCGGTCACTTTAACGCACCGGACCCGCAACTTTGCCCACCTCCCATCACGCGCATTCCCTCATTCTTACTTTGCTTTAAGAAGACTTAATCAAATTTTGACTCACCGTAAACAAAAACTTGAAATTATCATTACTGATTGTTAAGACATCGCAAATGATACAAAAACACGAGCTAAGAAACACGCACAGCTGTCACGCGCGACAACGAGTACATCGTTTTACATTTACAGACGTTTTGTCGATCCACTGCTGGATGAAGTCCCCCCCTCCCTCACACCGCGTCGTGCATGGGGGTTGTTTGGCCATACTTCACTACGCTGGTCATTGCGGGTCAGATATCACTCGCCACTGATGTTAGCCGTGACCGGCAATCGAACTCGAGTCGCCGGGTTCACTGCGCGACACTAACGCACAGACACCGACACACTTGCGTTAACACACAGACACTGACAAAGATCCCCCGTATAGGCTTAACGAACTGCTGGGGCAAGTGCAGTTAGCGAGCACCTATGAAGGCCGGCATGGCACGCGAGGGCGTGGTTTGGCCAACACCACCCCCGGCCGCCTTTGTCTCCCCAGTGGCAATGTTTACACACCGCACAAGGTACTCATTTGAGGCTGAGTCGACCTAGGGGAGGAGGCGCAGGACCGGTTCAGATAATTGTAACTGGTGTTGGCCGTGAGCAGGAATCGAACTCGGCTCCCTAACAGGCACGGACACATAGGCAGTCACAACCATTTCAGGGTTCAGATAAGCAGCACCACGTGTCCCCGTTGTCATATACCGTATACACGTGTGTAACATGTTGCACGTTATATGCACTTCATGTGACGTGCCCCCAGAATACATGTTCCGTATCTCTCCCAGATGTCTCTATGTGTCTGTCGGTCTCTGAATCACTATGTGCAAGAATCTGTGTTTTTCTCTGCGTGTCTCCGTGTCGTCGTGTATTTGTGTCTATGTCTGCGTCTCTTCGTCTTTCTCCGTGTCTCTGTCTCTCATTGAGTCCGCGTCTTTCTCTCTACATGACTATCTCCGTGTCTGTTTTATGTCTGTGGCGATGCATTTTTCTCTTTGTATCCTGTGGCCCTCCCCATGTGTCAGTATCGACCACCCGTGTCCCTCTGTCTGTCTCCATGTCTCCCTCCGAGTCGTTGCGTCTATCCGAGTCATTATCCGTGCATGCGTCTTTTTACCGTCGTTTCTGTGCCTTTCTCTCCCCGTTTCCCAGTGTCTGTCTCTCTGTCCGTTTCTCTCTGTGTGAGTCTTTCTCGGTGTCTCTGTCTCCGTATTGGTCTCGCGTCTGTGTGTGTCTCTCGGTGTCTGTCCGTCTCTTTCTTGATCTCCGTGTCTCTGTCCTCGTTTCTGTCTCGCGTTACTCTGTGTGTGTGTCTCTCTCTCTCTCCTTGTCTTCCTGTATGTCGAACTTGTATTTCTCTCGATAACTTCCTCTATATGTTATGTGTTCCTTCCAGTCTCTCTGTATCTGCACATCGCTGTGGCTCTCCCGTATGTCTGTCTGCATCTGTACGCCTCTGTGCGTCTCACTCCTTCTCTCATCTCGTCTCAATGTCTCTCTCCGTGTCGCTCGAAGAACCTCTCATCAGCTGTCTGCACGTGCCACGCGTATCTTTGAGACCACTCACCGCCTACAGTCGCCGCCTACACTCGCCTTCTCCCACATCCCACAATGACCTCCGTCTCCTCCAAAACCTCCAACCCCCACCCCCTCTTGCAGGTCGCTTCTCCATCGGGCATCTTCGAGTTGCAAATCGGCACCTTCAGAAGCCCCCGCGGGGAGCTGCTCAGCGGCGAGTGTTGCGACGGCGAGAGAGACAAAGGCGGCCGAGCGTGCGCGGAGCAATGCGACACATTCTTCTCGGTGTGCGTCCGTCAGTATCAGGCGGCCTCAACGCCCGGCCGTCCCACTCCGTGCGTCCTGGGGAACGCCTCCACACCGGTGATCGGAGGAAACAACTTTGACCTCAATAGTCTCAGCGGCCCCAACATCGGACGCGTGAGCATCCCCTTCAGGTTCGCGTGGCCGGTACGTGGCCCCGTGCACGAGGCGAACCCATGAACTACAAGGCTGACAAAGAAAAAAATTGACTTGAAACTTTCGTGACTGCAGGCATTCATATTCTTGGTTCTTTCGGTAAAGTCACTTAGATAGAAAATTAAAAAAAAATATTTTTTTATTTACTTTATATTTTAAATTAAATTTTTAAATTGTATTTTATTTTCTATCTACCTGACAAAGCAAGCGAACGGAAAGCGATCGTTACACGTGCTTGCGCGTGTGTCAGGCGTGGTGCCCCCCCCCGCCAACCAGGGGCGGAGCCAGGATTTTCAGCCCGGGGTGACATTCAACAAATTTTAAATTCAAGAATAATTGAATGAGAAATCGGCTATACCCCCCACGCCATCGGTTGGCGACACGCTCTGACAATGCAGTTGCACGGAGTCCGCCAGACCGAGTGTCGTACACTTATATGCAGAATGTTTCAGATTTTCGATTTTTTATATTTTTTCGGGGGTGACAATTGTCTAACCCTGTCACCCCCTGGTTCTGCCCCTGCCCCAACCCCCCCCCCCCTCATGCACCTTGCCGAACCTTCATAGGTGCTCGCTAACAGCACTTGTCCCGAAAGTCTGTTGAGGCTATAAGAGGGGTATTTGCCTTTGTGTCCAACGCCATTGGCTGCGTGCGAGGATTACTCCAGCTATCTCTCGCTGAATATCGTTCGGGTTTCGAGTAGACTAACGAAGTGGGCGGCACGTGGCTCGTAGCCACGGTCATAGCGACAGGTAAACTGGACATGGTGCGCCTGTGTGCGGTGATATTTTCCGGGTCAACGCAAAACAAACAAAAACAACTCAACACACACACACGGTATTCAATGTGCGTTGAGTTTGATTTCAGCAGAGTTTAAATGCGGCCGTAATTAAGCTCTGCTGAAATCAAACTCAACCATGGTGGTGTGGTTGTAATGGGCACTGAAAGACCCCCCCCCCCCATCATCGCCACTCGACTAAATCCCTCCTCCGTTGAACCCCCCCCCCCTCTTTATAAGTTGGTGCCTGGGCCCCTCCGCTAGGCCATGGCCACCGGACTAACTACGGCATCGGTGTTGTTGTTGCCGCTCACTCGGCGGGCCATTTTCTCACGTCAACAAGAAACCTCCGGTTTCACATTTCATAGAAGCCGCTGCTTTCAACTCTGTCCCACGCGCATCGGGACGAGAACCCACGGGGAGGAGGAGGAGGAGACGGTGAGAGTAAGACCTGCCGGGGATCTCACCTGTGACGATGTCATTGAGATATAATTAGTATTCAACGGAATGTAAGACGCACTACCAACATTGTGCCCGGTGTCAGTAAAAGTTATACAAATCTGGACACACACACACATCTACCGACCAGATCAGAATCAGAATATTCATTTACAATGGAGGAATCCGATGAGCTCTAAAACTATTTTTTCACACGTGTCCAGTAGGGGCATGTCAGAATGTTACAACAAACTTTTCCTTTAAACAACACAGGGGAGTGCGTCTTATATTCCGGAGGATTCGATAATTAATTCTGAGGGGTGAAGGAGGTAGGGAGGAGGTTGGTGGGGTGGCGGCGGGGGTGGAATTCCCCAGGAATAAGATGTCACAACTTTGACCCCGTCCCCGTTACCGAATACATCTCGTAAAACAAAGGGACAGCCGCCACCACCACACCCCCAACAACAACACCGCCAATCTCCACAACCACCACCACTACAACCGCCCACAAGCCTGTATAGCAAGTACAATGGCACACCAGTCATTATGGGCAGCCTTTGATGCATTGTATCATTGTGCGTGTGTGTGTGCGAGTGTGTGTATTGCGGTTGCCAGGGGCTTGATTTATCACCGAATATTCTCCGGGTGGCTGGTAAAGAATGGATCAGGAGGCAACGTGACCAGCGAGTTCACAAGCCATAGCGAGAGGGTATACTTGATGTGGTGTCCCGGGTGTTGTTGAATCGGACAGACGCGGCTGGTATGTAGCCCTGGCTGTCGCCTACGACGCGTGAGACAATATAGCGTTACTTGTTATGACACTCCACAAGCAGACGGGCCACGTACATGTTAGGGGATTAATACTCCTGTTCTTACGATGCATGTTTGACCATATTTCACCATTATGGTCAGTGCGGCTTGCTGGAGCTGTGGATGTCCAGGGCTACTCCAGGCGAATTGTTAACTGCCTCGCCTGGTATACAGGAAGTCGTGGGTTCGACCCCGAGCCTGACGCCTGTATATGTGGAGTTTGCGTGTCTCTCTCTCCCCGTGGTCGCGTGGATTTTTCTCCAGGTTTTTCCCTTCACATTTTGCAATATGCGTTTAGAGTATTTGGTTGTTATAAATTTCCACGTGATAAGCCGTTTCGTTGAGATATACTTTGTGGCCAGATCGCTTATAAAAAAGGGAGCTATGTAGCTCAGTGGGCATTACCTGGTAAAATGAAAAAAAGAGTTTAGTAAAGAGTTTCGTTTTAGATATCACTCGCTGCTGATGTTGGCCGTGGACGGGAATCGAACCCAATGGCGCGGTGCGCTAATCACTTTGCCACCACTCCATCCAGAACTCCTATGTGAATCTCTTGCCCCCTTATGTCTATATACACTGAATCAAAACATTAAGGCAAAGGCATAAGGGTCATGGCTCGAAACGTTAGCCTTTTGTATATTTCCCTGTTTTCTGTCGAATTGACTCCGAACGTAATGTTTTGTTTTGTATGAGTTCATTCATTCATTGCTTAATCTGCGCTAATACCGTTGTAGGCTATTACACACGAGAAGCATTGCTTTACACACGTCTTGGCCATTCAAACTCCGTTCTCACAAGACACAATGACCCTGCCATAATCGAAACACAATACGCGTGCAGTGTGCGTTTGTGTGCGTCGTGTGTGTGTACGTACGCCCACCCCCCCCGGCCTTCAGAGGTGCTCGCGAACAGCACTTGCCCCCCCAAACAGTCTGTAAAAAGTCTACACGGGGGATCTTTGTCTTTGTTGCACATGCACACATTGGGAAAGAGGGAGACTGAGGGGAGGGGGGAAGTAAATTGTGTCATGAGATGGTCCGTGGGTGGCTTTTTCTCCTTCTCTCTCTCTCTGGGGAGAATAGCGCCCATCTGTCGCCGCGTCATTATTCTGCTACAATGAGTCTATTGAGGCGCCCTCTCCGCACTGGTCATGTTCTCCGTGTCCCGCACCGCCCAACGCTTTGTCCGCCCGGTGTAAACACACACCTCCTGTGCAACAAAAAAAGCAAAAAGCCACGGCCGCGTTTGTTCCACCGAGTGTCCTGCGGGGGGATTTTCGCAAGTTCCCCAGTTCCCATGCTAAACTCGTTTCTTCTGCTTATTGCTCCACCGAAAAAAAGTTTGCCGCCGTTCAAATGCAAATTTTATCTTGCATCGTTGCACGCCGCACTTGCCCGATGATTGTTAAACGCCCCCCCCCACCCCCACCGCGAGATTTGGAGAATGCGCTGATTTTAAACGAGGTTAAGATTGCGTGCAGACGTGCGCGTATGCGTGTTCACGTGTGTCCCACAGGGCAGCGGCAGTGTAGTGGTTTACACATCGTGCTACGAACCCCCGCCAACCGAGTTGGATTCCCACTCACAGCCAAAACAAAATCAGTGACGAATATTTGAACCATTCCTGGGCGTGTCCCCCCCCCTCCCCAAGCCGACATATTTAAACACAAGCACTTAAAATGTGCTCGACCTGTAGGATACAAAGCACTCGCCCGCCATAGGAACGTGGCATTTCATACTTTGGCTCGGTGCCACGACGAATGGAGATTACCAATGTCCCACGCTGGTTTGGGCAGGGAGGCACCTATTTACACTTACCTTTTGCCGAGTTTTGATTGGGGCGGTTTGCGACAGGCTTCTTGCTCGCGATCCTTGCGCCGTGCAACTCAAGGAGGAGGTCGCACATTTAACGAGTATTTATTTATTTTTTTAACAACAACAAAAAAAGGCAAAAAAAAGAGTTTAGCTTAGGCCAGTACTTCAAAGGGTGTCGGATGTGCATTTGGCAAGTCCGTATTTGGTAAGGGACAGGCGTAATTACGTACTCCCATTCGCTCGCAGATTCTGGCTCGGCACCAGACATCGGCCGAGGGAGGAGAGGCCCCCGGTAGCAATACGTGTCGGCCATGCGAATGGGACGAGATTCGGCGCCGCCGCAATGCGGCGCCCGCCCGATACTTTCTGTGCGGCCGATGAGGTTGACTCTAACCGGGGGCAATTTACGCTTCGTGCGTGTTGCGACGCGGAAATTTTGCATAGCAATAGGAGTCGTTTTGACGTTTTACCGAGTTTGTGGGGTGGAGGTGGAGAAGGAGGAAGCAGAAAGGCAGAACGTGGCTTTGGAACGGGATGAACACGACGCCATTTGCGGCACCCGTTTGGATTACGAATGTTCGTTGCGTCTAAAAAAAAACTTTTCTCCCCGTCCTCCCTAAGATGTGTGATTCTCATTTTAATGCGGTGATTCATGACGCTTCTGCTACCACTGCTACTTCTGCGACACGTGGCGTTTGCTTGCGCACATAAGCAATCTGTCTGCCTGGCCCAGGGCACTGTAACTTTGAGCTGCCCGGGGCTGCGATGATGTGATGTCTTACGATGGCTTTGTTTTTTGGCTTTGGCAAAATGTGTCCTGGGTACACCACATCTACATTTTTGGTGGGTGGAAATTTTCTTTGAGGACAGCTGTGATACATGTTTGGGAGGGCTGATTTTTTAAAAAAAATCTTTTTATTTGTGCGGAATTTTAAAAATTGTTATTTCTGAAAAAAAATTCGTGAGTGCAAGGTTGCCACTTGCATAGCACGTGGTCGACTGACGTACCCCTAGGAATGGGTTCACGATGGATCGGATCAATCCACCATGTGTCTGTTCGCGGTGAGCTGGTGCTCTCTGGCCGAGTCTGGATGTGAGAGGGTTCCCTGTGGAGGCTGTGCCACTTAACGCTAGAGCAAGTGCCGTACATA